CTAGCTCAATTCCCAGCACCCACACGGCAGCTCACAACTGTCTGCAACTGCAGCTCCACGAGATCTGGCACCTTCTCACCAGTGTGCATGAAACAGTTCTACTGGCTCAGAGGTCTCTAACAGATCGCTCTCCCGTATATCATCTAGTCAACTCCTCTGAACAAACCGTGCTGTTCCTGCAAGTGGCGCTTCAGCACCATCCACCCCATGAGGGGGTGGGGTGGGGTGGGGGGATTTCCACAGCCGTCCCACTCCCTTCTTGAATCGGCCTGTCCCCCCACCCTCAGAGAGCAGACCTTTTTTCCGTCCTCACCCCCCCAGACCCCTACTTGCCGGTTCTTCCGTATGCTCTCTTCCTGGTAAGTTTCTCTCAAAACCGTCCCAGGCAAGCAATGGATGTCCTTATAAAAACACCTCAGAATCCAAGAGGATTCCATCACCTCCATCAATGAAGGTGCATGTTCCAGAAGACCCTCTCTACAGCGGGCTCTCATTTTTTCCCATCCGGCGATGGACTCACTCCCAATGTCTACATGGGACTCATCCATGGCCCCTTCCTCAGGCTGGAGTTCAAAGATTCTTCTCCCTGTCCACTAACGGAAGCTCTCACTATTCCCCTCCCAAAGGAGGTGTCTCCAGAGACTGCCACAGAGATGGTGGGCTCTTTTTTTTTTTTTGGTTTTTCGAGACAGGGTTTCTCTGTGGCTTTGGAGGCTGTCCCGGAACTCACTCTGTAGACCAGGCTGGCCTCGAACTCACAGAGATCCGCCTGCCTCTGCCTCCCGAGTGCTGGGATTAAAGGCGTTCGCCACCAACGCCCGGCTGATGGTGGGCTCTTTTAGAAATGCCTACAGGTGCTTCAAAGAGACACTCTCCTTATTCCAACCACTGAATGGAAAGACACATAGTAGAAGACCAAGGCCTAAGAGTGGACTCTCACCTCCATCTTTGAAAATGGATGCACCATTTGACCCCCTTCCTAAAATAAACCTACTGTTCTAGTGGCACTCAAGTACGTAATACACAGAAACATGGCCTGGATGGCTCAGGTCTGTCATACCAACTACTCAGGAGGCTGAAGCAGGTGAATCATAAATTCAAGACCAGCCCGGACAACCGATGGAGCTCCTGTCTCTACGTTAAAAGGCTGCCAAGAATGATTCAGCAGGACACGCCTGCCTACAGCCCACTAGTGAAGGCTTGGGGGCGTTGCTCAGAGACAGAGCCCTTGGGCCTGGGTTCACCCCTCAGTACTGCAACAATAAAAATGCACATAGGTCTCAGTGCCTCCGTCCACAAGGAGTCAGACGGTCCCCGTGTGAACCTTTGTAAACATATTAGCTGAATTCTCCCATCAAGACAGCTGCATTTCTAGAACAAGGATCTAGGTACCAAGGATTTCTCTGAGGTAGGACACAGACTTTCCTTCAAGAAACGGATGTTTGTGAGGGATGTCCTTTTGACAATAGACTGGCCTTTGACCAAGACCATGTTTTCTTTGCCCTCTGAATGAAAGGAAGCCTTCGCTATCCCCTCAAATGGGACCTTTGTATCTGGCGTCCACCTCAGCTCCTACCCAGCTATTTCCTACTGGGAACTGCCATTATAATGGAGAGGGCCTCAACCCAAGGCATTCTTGGCAGTGTGGCTTTGTTGGCTGGCCATGTCTGATGTGGCTCCGTGACTAGGGGGAGATAGGGCTCACCTGAGCATCCTGGTAGCCCTGGAGCAGGAGGAAGTAGGGTCGGTTGCTGGGTGCCTGGATGAGGCACTGAGTCAGTCTGTCGAAGTCTCCAGGGTCTGTTGCTGCCATCTGGGTGTCAGCCGGCCCAGGAGCCATGCTAAGTGCCTGCTGCCTGCGTTCCTGCTGCCGGCGCCTCCGCCCCTGCAGACTCAGCTCAGACACACTGCGACGCAGGGACAAATTTTCAGAACGCTCCTTGCCCCCAGACCCAGTGGGGGTCCCCGATCCTGACCCTGGACCTGGGCTGGCCAGAGCCGCCCCACCAGATGCTGCCCGAGACCGATTCTTCTGTGTCCGCCAAGATGGGGCGTTCGTGCCTACGGGAAAAATGAAAATCACAGAAGCTATTCCCTGGCTCTGGAACTCCAACTTGGAGTTGTCAGCTTAGAAATCCATTCCTTTAACAAGCACCTAGGGAACAACTACTGTATGTCAGGATCTGGTCTAGGCACCAACAGTGAAACTGTCCTCAGGAAACTGGAAACAGCCACCTTCCTAACGATGTTTCCTAGGCCCCAGCACACAGCAGCCTCCCTACGGAAGGAACTTAATGGAGAAACATGTTTTCCACCAAGCTTCTAAGATCTGAGAAACTGGAAACTGCTTGTCCATGGACACTGGAGACCAAAATCATGTGTGCCTCACAATATGTGCCCTTGTAAAGGTTGTTTGGTCTGGTCTGGTTTGGTTTGGTCTCTGGTCTGGTTTGGTTTGGTTTGGTCTCTGGTCTGGTCTGGTTTGGTTTGGTCTGGTCTGGTTGCCTGAGAAGGAACAACAATAATCTCCATTCTTTTGAGTGGCTACTGTTCATTTTATCTCCCCAGCCCCTTTATATACATCATTACATTGAATCTTCACCTAGAACTTTGTTGACATTAAAAAGTAAAGAATGGATGGGCTAGCACTTGGGGCTGGAAGATCAAGTGTTAAGGGGCATCCTGGGCTACATGGCAGAACCCTATCTTGGTTAAAATAAAATAAGCTATACCTCTGTATTTCCCAAATGGAGAGTGAAAAAGATGTGTCATACAGGGCTCGCCCATTGACCACGCTACTGGCCCTACAGACCCTGCCGCAAATCCCTCCCCAGAAGAGCATGCACTACTAGTTGTCCGCACAGCCCCGTCCAGAGCCACCCCACTCAGTAGCCCCGCCTCCAGAACCTCCCAAAGGACCCCCTCCCAGCACTCCCACCGAGGGCCCCGCCTTTCATTCTACAGGCCCCGCCTCCTTTCCCTATAAGCCACGCCTCCGCGCCCCCTGCCCAGGGCCAAATCGGTCCTTCTACCGACCCCGCCCCTCTTGGTTGCTCCGCCCCAATACCTCCGGAGCCCCGCCTCCTCCCCCCAGGGACCCGCCCACGTGTCCGCGCCCTTCCCCGCTAACCGTCTGCGTCCGCGGCTCCGAAGGCTTCCTGCTCCAGCCGGCGTGCCTCCTCACGGCCTCGCAGCTCGAAGCGCCGCGCCCAGCCCGGCCGCGCGCGCCACAAGTCCTGCACCAGCAGGGGGCGCTCGGCGTCGGCCAGCACGCGCAGGTGCTCCGCGCGCCACTCGCCGCCGCCCACGCCCGCCGCGGGCCGGCCCAGCGCGTCGCACAGCGCGTAGGCGTCCACGCAGCCGCCGTCTCCCGCTCCGCGGCCGCCCGCCAGCCCGTAGCGCTCTAGTGCCTCCGCCACCAGCTCGCGCGCGGTGGAACGCTCCGTGGCCAGCACACTCTTGTAGTTGGCGCCCGACGCCAGCCCGGCAGCGAAGATCTTGAGCACGCCCGGAGGCACAGCGGCGCGCGTGGGCAGCGGCGGCTCCGGGGCCACACCCGCCGCCAGTTCAGGCAGCTTCTTCTCGCTGGCCCAGCGCTGCGCACCCCCCGGGCGTGCCGGGGCCCCCGGCACCTCCGGCCCCCGAGCCCCGGAACAGCTGCGAGATGCGCTTGGCGCGGCTGCCCGACGCGCCCCCCGCCGCCTTCACTGCGCCGACGCGCCGCAGCTCCACGTGCGGCGGTGGCGGCGGCAGGGGCTCGCTGCTGCGGCTCCCCGTGTCGGAGGACGAGGACCTGAGGAGGGAGAAGTGGGCAGAGAGGACGCAGAAGAGAGAGCGAGACCGACAGACAGACAGAGACAAACCCAGAGCAAGTGACCCCGAGAGAGGGGCCCAAGAAACCGAGAAAGGAAGGGGGGGACGACGACAGAAACTCAGAGACAAAGACCCAGAGAGAGAAGGAGAGACAGAAGTTGGGGGGGGCAGAAAACAAAGATGGTGGGAAGAACGGAGGTAAGAGAGATAGGTGTAATATAATTAATAAGTATATTACCCTTGATGGGAAATTCCAAGGTGAACAGAGGGAGGGCAGGAAGTGAATCAATTCCCTGTGTCCTACCTAGTGTGTTTCGTTCCAGTGCCCATCCCGCCTGACCCCATGTCCTGGCCTAGCTCCTCACTCCCGAGATGTCACAGTTCCGCTGCGCCCCCGCCCCCGCCCCCCGGCTCACTTGTCTGTTTAGGACAGGCACCACTGCCCACCTTTGTAGGGTCCCTGGCAAGACTCAGTGATAAACAGGGACAAACGGCAGGCGTGCCAGTAGAGGTTGACCACTTACTTGACAGAGGCAGCGCTGGGCCAGCGCCGCCCAAGTTTGGCCAGCTGCTTCCTTGGGGAATTGATCCACAGGCCCACCGGGAGATGAAGTTTCCCAAAGCGGGGGCTTCCGCCCTCCTTTCGTTCACCAGATAGCATGGCCCTAAGGGAAGAGGGTAAGGCCTCAAGTCCTAAGGCCACGGGAGGGGGTGGGAACGGAAGAGAGAGTGAATTCTGCCTCCTGGATCCCAGGGAGGTAGAGGGGGTAGAACAAAGAACTCCTAGGTCCCTGGGTGGGTCATTGCTGTGGCTCTTACCCTGCTTCGGGTCCTGTAGCACCCGGAGGCCCTGGTGGCGTTGGCCTCCGTTAAGTCCCAATCCCTCTGAAAAGTGTTTTCCTCTGCCCCGGCTCCCAGCACTGGGTGGGGGACAGGAAAAGGCAAGAGGAAACCCGGCAGGAAGAGCGGGGAGGGGGCGTCCTGTGAGGAGACCAGGCCTTGGGGGAGGAGATGGGGCAGGGCCGGGCCCTGGCCTATGCCTTGATTCTGGGCCCACCATTCATGGGGCTCCTGCAGAGGGAGGTCCCATGTTCCAGCTACTCTCTCCTCAGACGGGGGCATCCAGACCTCCTCTCTTGGAGCCAGAAGTCAGGACCAGTCCCCAAGAGTAAGCCAGATACTGAGACAACAGGTCAAATCTTTATTGGCTTTCTGATTCCCCTGCCTTTTCGTCTGTCTCCTCGGCGCCGCTCTCGACCTCAGGCCGTGAGGGCTGCGAATCTGCTGGTAGGGACGACGGTTCCAGCTGGAAAGAGGACCTCTCCAGCTCTGATGACCTGAATTCCATCCTTGATGACCGGATCTCTAAACTTGAGGTCTTCGATTTAGCTCTAGCTTTCCTAAAGTGAAGAACCCTGCGCAGCAGGACATGGGTGCATAGAACCACGTTAGATCACGGGTTGAGTGGAGTACAGGCTTCCCCAGACCCCCACAGACCTAACCTAGCAGTCTATACAAGTCTTGTCCTCCTAAGTGAGCCCCAAAGGAAGGTCGATGCCCAGTAGCTTCCTGTCCTCTGCCAGCACTGGACTGTAGGAAAACCTGTCCTCCACCCAAGCCCAGCGCCCACTCTCCTCCGTAAGGTCCCACCCTTCCCTTGAAGCCTCATCCATCCATACAAGCCCTTGTCCACATGCTTCTATTCAATCGCTCTTTACCCACCACTACACCTCCATCCAAATCCTGCCTCTCCCTTCAAGTCCCGATCTTACCCAGGCCCCCCCCTTCTATCCAAGCCATGCCTCCTCCCGAAGCTCATTTCCTGTCCAAGCCTTTCCCCCACTGCTATCTAAGCCTCTGCCCTTCATACAAATCCACTTCATTTAAGGCCCATCCCCCCCCCAAGTTTCCCAGTGGACAGCTCACGAGGCAATGATGCTGGCCACCAGAACTAGGAAGCCAAGGATCAACAGTATTATGAGTCGGCGTCTCAGATTTCCCGATGGTTTTGGATGATGGACGATCGTAATTACGAACTCCGGGACCTCTGCAGTCACCTGGCCAGGGGTTTCCTCCTCCTGGATTATGACGTTTGGTGCCGGTTTTTCCTCTAATGCCCTTTGGGGTAATACTGACAGAGGAGAGCCAACGGGCAGTCCTGGCAGCAGCCGCTGAAGGCATGCCTGCCCCCAAAACCCTAGCCCTCTCTAGAGGGTGGGTGCACCCCAATAAGTCCAACTGAGGCCTAAGGCAATCCCTCAGGCAGGAAGCCACACCTCCATGACCAGAAAGCATGCCTCCTAAGGGAAGCCTTGCCTCTTAGTGCAGACCCCCGTTATAGCCAAAGCCACATAGCCCAAAATGAGGCCATGCCCACAGGAAATCAAGTCCCATGGGTGAGGCCACACCTCCAGAGATTCTGCCATCCCGAATGCCTCTTTTCCAACACCTCAGACTGACCTATGACACGAAAATGGATAATAGTGGCAGGACCCGCGTTGACGGTCCCCAGTTCGCAGCGGTAGTTGCCAGCATCCTCTGGACCCACCATCGACTTGGTCATGTAGGGCTCTTTCCCCTTGGACAGCAAGGTCTCAGAACTGTTCCCCCAAACCTAGACCCAAGCTCAAGGGGTCACAGAGGCCTGGGGAATTTGGGGACTGGGGGAGTAGAGGGGTGAGAAGGTCACGGGGCCTTGGTGCAGGGGAGGCAGGAGTCAGGACTACTGATGGCCCTAATCCTCACAGGAGGCATCACAGATCCCCTACCCTCCGTGCTGGCATGCCTAGGATGGGAAAGTCCCTGATCAAGGAGTGGGATCTCTGTGGGGATCAGTAGAAGACACCTCTAACAGGCCATGAGGGTTGGGTTCAGGGCAGGGGGCTTGGGGGTTCACACAAATCTAATAGACTTAGGGTCAAGGATCGCAGGAGTGATGTTCCCACCCTGTAAAAACTGTAATCCGTAAGTCCCTCAGAAGCGTGATGCCAACTGAGCTGGCAGTCCAGGACCAAGTCTTCCAAGCGATGCACCTCTATCCGGCGCTCTGTGCAAAAGGAGGGGCTGAAGTTACTTCTGGGGGGCCCTGCTATGGCTGCCTCTCTCCTAGTCCCACCCCCTGGCACTAGGCCCTGGAGCTGGGTGACGTGCTCACCCCCACAATCCATGGATTTCCGACAAGAGTGGACCTGCTTCTCACACCTGTTACACCAGATCAGAGTCTGCAACATCGTGCCTGAAGGGCGAAGGTTAAAGGTGTACTCTCCCACTAAGGTGGGGGTAAAAGGAGAATTTGGCAAGGTCAAGGGTGGGGGGCAGCTATTCACACCAAGTGTCTGGGTTGTTAGTGCTCCCACCAAAGGTCAGTAAAGAGTGCAACCAGAGTAAACCCCACTACCTAAGAAATCCAGAATGGATAGTGAGGACTGGAGGTCCGGGGATAGTTCAAATGGAGGAGAGTAACAATCACCCGTCCTGCGGGGAGGCTCGTGGGGCAAAAGACACAGACATGCATACTGGACTCACCACATTGGTTGGGACAATAAACTGCCTCCGGAGGGAGAAAGGGGGAAGAAAGAGAAAGAAAATCACATTTGTTTTTGTTTTCAGAAAGGAGTCTGATATAACCCAGGCTGGTCTCAAACTTCACAGCAATGAGGATGACCTTGGACATTTTATCTCTTGCCTCCACCCATAAAGTCCTGCGATTAAACGCTCTATCTGCCAGCATCTCAGCAATAGCCCAAGGCTGCCGCAAATCTGGCAATCCACCAGCCTCAGCCTCCCAAATGTGGGATTACAGGTTTTGCTACCAAGCTCCAGAAGATATTGCCTTCTAAATTAATGGGAGTGGATGCTGAGCAGACATCTGAGATTTAAGGAGCTTTTAGGCAGGTAGGGAAAGGACCTGGGGGAGGTGTTCTTGAGGACAAGGATGGAGGAGGAGGTTAAGGAAGCTGATGGCTGGGGCCCTGGACTTCCATCTTCCTCACCTTCTTTTTGGAAACGCGTAGCAAGGGTGGAGAAGATGTCCTTTTGCAGACGGAGCATCCAGAATAATTCCTTTACAAAGAGCTCTCCTAAGAGGAAGCAGAGCCAGGAATGGTGCTCCCCAAACTCAAGTGTGAGGTGTAGTAGCGCATTCCGTCCCATATGCTACAGATAGTACCCCAAGTGGTCTCAGACATGTAGCTGAGGGTGACCTTGAACACCTGATCTTTCTGTCTCCACCTTCAAGCATGCACCTGCATACCCAACACCCTGCCTCTTATTTATCTCTCCTCTCCGAGTCTCACCAAGTATTCCCCGCTGTTCTAGAACTTGCTGTGCAGACCACGCTGACCTCAGACTCAGAGATCTGCCTGCCTCTGCCTCCCCAGGGCTGGGATTAAAGGTGTGCGTCACCACTCTTTCTTATTTGCTTGACAGGATGGCACTATGTTGTCCAAGCTATTCTGGAACTCTGGGTTTAAGCAGTCCCCCTGCTTCAGCCTCCTGAGTAGCTTTAAGTACAGGGATACCCCACCTGTGTTCGCTGGCGTTCCTCTCTAGCCCTTCAGGGGAGAACTATAAGACGAAGCACTGAGCCACAGGGCTATGAAGCATACACCCTGCTAGTTCTCTTAATCCTCACAGCCACGGAGAAAGGGAGACGATTATGGTCTCCACATTAGGGCTGAGGAAGCTGCCCAGCCTCAGACTCAAGGCCACATGGCTAGGAAATGGCAGAGCCAGAATGGTTCACAAGCAGAGGCTTGAAGCTTTAAGAAACCAGCTGTGGCTTCTCACAGGTTCTGCCCTCATCCTCCGGTACATTTACCTTTTACATCACTGTCCGTGATACGTTTCAGATCCTTCAGAAAACTCCAAGATGCCTGTTCCAGTGTGTCCTCATCTGTGTGTGGAGGGCAGATACAGAACCCCAGAGTCCAGCTTTTCTGTCTCAAAGGCTTGTCACTACTTAGAAACTACAATACCCATGAGGCCACTGGGCAAAGAGAGACCTGGTGTAAGAGGAAACTGCTCATTGCCTTATGGGAGTTGTAGTTTTACCACATAACTTGCTAGAGCCAATATTGTAAGCTATGGAGGAGGGAACTCCATGATTCTGTATCCCAAGACTTTTCCATTCTTTTTTTCTTCTTCTTTTTTCGAGACAGGGTCTCACTATGTGGAGCAGGCTGGCCTCGAACTCAGAGAGATGCACTACCCAAGAGCATGAGCCACTAGGCCCAGCGACTTTTCTATGTCAGGTCTTCCGGCCCCAGCCCTTCGTCTCCCAGGACCCTGAGATCTGCATCCTGGCCTGCCCTCCTTACCCACGGCCCCCACATAGGTATCCTTATTCAAAGGCAGATCCTTGAAGTCCTTCACCGCCTGCTCTACCCTCTTCATTACGTTTTCGTGATGCTCAGGTGCCAGGTGGCCAGGCAGGTAACTCTGCTCCAAAGTCTTTAGCGCAGCCACTACAAACGGGTCACACATGATGCAGGGCCTCGCCGGACACAGGCAGTCGGCCAGAGCGGCCAACAAGAGTGTAAGACGCGGCCCCATGGAGGCCAGAGCGCACAGCTCGCCAGCACCGCCAGAGGATCCTCTCACCCCAAAACGAGGGCGGGGGGACGCTAAACAGAAGCCAAAAAACAGTCTTAGAGCATTCCAGAGCTCAATACGGGGGTCTCTGGGAAATTTCCAAGTAAAAAGAAGGTGTCATGAATTAAAGACCCAGAATGTGAATTCGGACCCCCACCCCAGCCCAGGACACCTCAAGATTCATGGTCTTCGTTGCATTCCTGCAAACTATTGAACTATCCCCAGCCTCTCTCCATTCAAACTTCAAACGCATCGGCTCACTCCCCGACTTCCCCAAAGTCATATAACTCTGAACCTGGGTCAACATTCAGACTAGACTCTCAATCCAGCCCTGAACACCCCGTGGCACAGCAAACTTGACAATCAGTAGTGAAAACTAGATAAGCCGTCAAAAGCCGGGGCATTGGCACTTGGGAGCCTGCGGCAGTAGAAGGAACTCAAGACCACCCTGGCCTACTTGAGACTCTGTCTCCAAAATAATTAATTAAATATACAAGTAAATAAGTTGTCTAATAAATAACCGACTTGGAAGCTATCAAGCTAAAAAGGTCTTCAGAACAAAAAATATCCTAAATCCTTGAGTCCGAAGGTCCTACAAAATCTTCAACATGCCTGCAAAGCCAGCCCCCAGTTTCTGGGGTACCTGTCGGCTCTCCCTCAAGAATGAGACCCTAACTTTCAGGACACACTTTTCTCAGGCCCCCAGTACCTCTTTAACAGCCGCTCCTCAACTTCGTGCCCTCAAGCGCTAGTGCTTCGCCCAGATACCTTCTCACGACTAAGATTAGGTTTTCCTTGGAAGACTGGGGAGAATTCAGGGTTTTTCTACTGGCTCCGGGAGTCGCCGGTCGCCCCCTCTTCACAAAACGCTTGGGCCACATCCCACATGGGGGACCCTGATCCCCTTAGAAATATTTCTTAGGACTCTCTTTGGCCCCGCCCAGAAGTCCAACTCTAAGTTTGATTGGAGTGCAACAAAGCAGGCCCCGCCCGTCCCTCCATGACGTCACAGGGTGGCAGCCCTTTCGTAGAACTTTCCCAGCACCTACCGAATGGAAGCCGCTAACCTGTTCTGGCCTCCTCTCTGGTCTTCATTCCCCCCAAGTTTCCGGCAGGACGCCCTCTGGCTGGCTAAGAAACCTTGGCATCCAGATAGGAAGACGCGGTAAGTGGCTAGTCTTAAACTGGGACTACAACTCCCAGAAGTCACTGGAGCCTCTCTCTTTCCCGATGACCACAGCATGGGAAACGCTTCTCTTCTTACCTCAAACCCGGATAAGGAGAGGAGGCCTGGATCCAAGCATGGTGACCCACACATGTAGTCCTGGCACTTGAGAGGTTGAGGCAGGAAGATAGCCAGCCTGGTCTACATTGTGCGTTCTAGACCAGCCTGGGCTACAGAGACCCTCTCAAAATAAGACAAAACACAAGATAGGTCTGGTGGCCAATCCCGAAGTCTCCAGAGACAGGTACTAAGGGAAAATGAACCACAAACCTAGCAGCAAGGGTTGCCATATCTGAGTATGTACAGTGTCCACGAGTCACGAATGTCCCCAGTAGACACATGCACACACTCCCCTCCATTGTGCTGTGAGCTCCAAAAACTTCAAATACATGGATTGGTTGCTGATGTGGCCCTTTAATTCACAGCTCCCTCTCTCCAGCCTGTACAAGCCGAGTTGGGAGAAGGTACCCAGAAACTCCCTGAGAATTCGATTAGATTAAATGCTATCCGAGGAAAAGCAGCAATGATATCTGATAACTCAGTCAAACAACTGCCCTTCTGGATCTGAGCCTGTGGTCCTGCAGGGCTTTGGGCGGGGTCCAGGGGTCTGGAACACCTTCAGAAGCTTCCCCTGGACCTTCTCAAAGCCCGATTTAGTGCCTTTGTGAGCCCAGGGACACACCCTCGTTGTCTGCAGGCCTGGTCTCTTGTGGAAAACAGACCTCAGGTCCTCTCTAGCATAAGAGAAAAAAACCTCTTTGACCCCATATTCAGGACTAATCTATTTCTTTAAAAGTTCTCGCCTTTTTTTTTTTATTCCATGGATTTTTAGGAGACACTGCTCCTGCAAGTGCAGCCCCTCAGCAGAGGCCCTTTCTCTCATGTCTCCCCATCTTAGCCCATTTACTCTCCCCACCCTAAATAAAAGTCATTGAGGTTTCTCTGGGGCCCAGGAGATGGACAGAATTCAGATCTGCTTGAGTGGTTTTCATGTCTCTAACATGAAGCTGGCACTCCACGGTAGCAGCAGTGAGGAGGTGCAGTGTTTGCATGTACCTTCAGAAAGTTCACTATCGGGAGCGCTGGCGGGGCCCTGCGGGTGCTGCACAGGCGCTGGACCAGGCTCAGAAACGGCCGCCAGGCAGTTCTCCAGCCTCCAGAAGTTCTAAGAGGGTGAGCTGGGTGAGGAGAGGACTGTGGCTCGCAGGGCTAACCTGGACCTCAGCCACCAGACGACGATGTTCTGGTGGAATATCAGTAAACATTCCAGCATTTCCAGAAAGCCCCTCGTCTGAATATCTGGAAATGGATGCCCACCAGTTCCAGGACAGACACCTTCCAAAGCCACAGGCCTCTAGAGATATGATGGCTGACTCTAGATGGCTCAGGCCAATCTTAAAAGACTGTCCGACTCCCAGGAGTCAACCTGAGCCTGAAGTGGGGACAGGTCTGCGTTAATGCCCACCCACTCGGGCAGGAAGGCAGCCTTGGGCCTGAAGATTTTCAGAAACTCTGAGTCTGGCAGGGTGAAGTTGGCAAGGTATACAGTGTCTCCGCCAGCTAAGTAGGCAGCCCAGAAGCCAAAGGTACCGACGGTCATGATGGTATGGTTGCACTGGGTGAGCAGCGCAAAGTCTTTCCCTGGCGTGCTCTCCTGCCCGTTGCCAGCGAAGACCACATCACCCCGGGATGCGTCAATATTCTCCATACACCATTCCATGCCGTTGCTGGTGACCACAAAGATGGGGTCTTTGTGTCTGGCCCGGAACCAGTCCATGGCTTGCTGGAGGTAAGCTTGGTCACCCACCACACCTTTCCAGCGATTGGGCATCACCTCGAGGTAGTCTCCACGACGCACGTGGACACCCACAAAAGTGTGAGGGCGGCTGCCCGAGGGGCCCAGACGGAGCCTGCTTAGCAGGTGCTGGGCACCTTCCCGAAGGTGGTCGTGCAGGGTGAACTCCCTGCGGATCTGTTCCCGGAGATGGTGGAAAAAGGTCCAAGAACAAGGGAAACCCGACAGCTTGAGGAAGGGGTCCTGCAGCTGGGAGTACTCCTCTGACATCCAGTCATGTAGCACCAAATGCTGCCAAGGCGTGAGGCTGTCCACCTCAGGGTCCAGCACCGGCAGGGAGATGCGGAACACGGGGGCCAGGGTGGCGTGCATCTCAGGCTGAATGAAAGCTGGGCGGCCGTTGAGCTGAGCCAAGGCCATCAATGTGGCATACTGCCCCATCTGGTTACCGAACCTGCCTGCCGGGGAGATGGTCCAAGTCCCAGAGAGTGAGGACGATGGCGTGGGGCAGGAAGGGGAGGCATTGAATGCCTGCGATGGGCGGGGCAGGCACACCATGGCCACTGGGGACTTCAGCACCTGGTAGTCTGGACACAGGATAGAGAGGGTTAGCTCGCTTCCAAAGAAGTTTCCTCCGTGCAGGTGGAAAATGAAGGAGCCGGTGGAGAGCGCGCAGACCAGCAAGAAGACCAGGCAGAGCTGCCTCCGGCTGGGGGTCCACATGGCTGTGGGGGGAAAGGTGGATTAGAAGGTGGCAGCGGCAGAGGCTGGGACTCCTCCAGCTACGGCAGCTGCAGTGAACATCTCCTCAGTCATAAGCTGAGAGCCTACAGCCGGCGTTGTAAAGATTTGAATCTCTAGGGATGGGGTCAGGAGGTGTGCCAATGAGTGGCTGTCAGACAGGGAGATCGGGCCGCCTGGGAACTCACAACTCGACTACTTTCTCAGGGGCACCTGTAAGTAGGGGCACGTTCTACTCCGCAGGCAGAGGTTGGGGACCAGGGGAAGCCCAGGTGAGGAGGAGGCCTTTAGAACTGTAAAAGCAAACCCCTGTGAGGCAGGAATAAACATCTGTTTATCCCATATACTAAAGAAACGGCTCAACCCAAGTCTGCCCGGCTTGGTGAACACAAAAGCTTGGGTGAATCCAAGGCAGCCACAGAGCTGAGAAGCCCTCCGCACGCATCCCTGGGGGAGCCTGTGGACCTTGGAACTTCCTGTGAACTCGTTTATTTTCCTGAGTCCGGAGCCTTGCTGTGGCGGGAGGGAAGGATTCTTATGGGGGAGAGGTTGCGATTGGATTCCAGGTTTTGAGAAAGACCGGCCGGGATAGCGTTGGAGTGGCCTAGATACCCACGTCATCCCTGGGGGTCTGGCATGCTCGTGCCGACTAACCTGAGTTCCTCGCTGGTGGTACAAACCGATTCTTTTAGTCTGAGCTTCCAGTCCCAAAATAGAGCCTTCATCGGCCACGCTTGGCGGTCAGGAGCCCCGGCTCCGTAGCCCTTCGGTCTAGGCTTTCTTCCTGCAACTGACTGAGAAGGCTGAGGGCTTGGAGACCCGGAGGGAAAGAAAGGGAGAGAGGCCGGGTTCCCAGGTGCGCCGCCTCCGCCCTTCGGGCCGGGCAGGTAGCAGAAGGCGGAGCCGCATCCTTCCTGGGGCCTCACCCGGGCGGGCGTTCAGGTGAGGGAGGCCCCACGCTCTGTCCGCCTCCCGAGGTGGGTTGCCGCCGCACCCCTTGTCCCCTCCTCTCGCATCACTGACGCCCAGCTGGCCCCCAGAATTTGCCGCATACTCTGCACGGACCCCCGCTGCAAGGCTGAACCCGGGAGCTCAGATCCCACCCGCGTTCCCTTCTCCGGTGCCGGGACTTAGTGCCTGCTGCCCTTACCTGGATGCTCTGGGAGTAGTCACGCCCCAGTGGAGCAAGGTCTGGATACCCGCCCCCTCTTCCAACCCAGCCAGCTGCACCCTCCCTGGAGGATGGAGAACCTGTTTGCCAGCTGCCACAGCCCAGGCACAAGTCTTCGCACACATCACACAGTCCCTGCCCCAAATCCCTCTTTGGAGCTATCCTAAATTCTGCGGCCCAGCTGTTGCTTTCTAGACTGGCAAACAGAGCAGGTAACTTTTTTTTGTTTTGTTTGGTTTTTCGAGACAGGGTTTCTCTGTGGCTTTGGAGGCTGTCCTGGAACTCACTCTGTAGTCCAGGCTGGACTCGAACTCACAGAGATCCACCTGCCTCTGCCTCCCGAGTGCTGGGATTAAAGGCGTGCGCCACCAACGCCCGGCCAGAGCAGGTAACTTTTTCTGACCAGGAAGAGGTGGAAAGAGTTGTCTAATGTTCTTTCTGGGCAGCCGCTGGTGTGGCTGTGGACAAAGGTCTCGGTTCTCCCGTGTCCTGAGTCTATAATTGTCCAGTGTCGGCCGCCCCACAGCCTCACCCTTACCTGAGCGTTGACACCCTACAAAGACTCGGGAATTCCACCTGGCTGGCCCAAGATTAGATCATTTCTCCAGGCGACCAAGGCCCAGGCCCGCCTCAGACCTAAAGGTCTATTGCCCAGCCTTCTCCCTTAGACTCCCTCAGTCCCAAGGGTCCTGCCCAGGCTTCCTCCTCCTGACCCAGGAATTTGCCCCAGCATGCCTTTGACTGCAAGAACTCATCCAGCTCTTCCCCTGGCTCGGCGGGAAGGAGCTGATGATCCTACCCATCCCCCAGGGTGTCCGGGGAGTACCAGTGCCGAGCAGTCTCTGGTGAAAGAAGTGCCAGGATTGCATCAGGGAGGTCGGCAGAAGAGCACAGCATCTGAACGCTAAGCAGGGGTTGCTGAGGGTGACTGGCCGGCGACCAGCTGGGAGCCTTCCACCTGCAGACTCGTCTTCCACACGGCTGATGCCGCTTTCCCGCCGATTAAAGAAAGCCTCAGACCCCAACACCCCGTGAACATGGAAGTTCAAACAGGGTGGAGCACACAGCTCAGCTGCTTACACAGAAAGTCTGAGACCCAGGGCTCCTTCTGCTACCTGGGAGGCAGACCCCAGCCTCCTCCCTCAGACCCAGGAGCCAGACCCCAGCCTCCTCCCTCAGACCCAGGGCTCCAGGCCCAGCCTCCTCCCTCAGACCCAGGAGTCAGACCCCAGCCTCCTCCCTCAGACCCAAGGCTCCAGGCTCAGCCTCCTCCCTCAGACCCCAGGGCTCCAGGCCCAGCCTCCTCCCTCAGACCCAGGAGTGCAGACCCCAGCCTCCTCCCTCAGACCCAGGAGTCAGACCCCAGCCTCCTCCCTCAGACCCCAGCCTCCTCCATCAGACCCAGGAGTGCAGACCCCAGCCTCCTCCCTCAGACCCAGGGCTCCAGGCCCAGCCTCCTCCCTCAGACCCCAGCCTCCTCCCTCAGACCCCAGCCTCCTCCCTCAGACCCCAGCCTCCTCCCTCAGATCTAGGAGTGCAGACCCCAGCCTCCTCCCTCAGACCCCAGCCTCCTCCATCAGACCCAGGAGTGCAGACCCCAGCCTCCTCCCTCAGACCCAGGAGTCAGACCCCAGCCTCCTCCCTCAGACCCCAGCCTCCTCCCTCAGACCCAGGGCTCCAGGCCCAGCCTCCTCCCTCAGACCCAGGAGTGCAGACCCCAGCCTCCTCCCTCAGACCCCAGCCTCCTCCCTCAGACCCCAGCCTCCTCCCTCAGACCCAGGAGTGCAGACCCCAGCCTCCTCCCTCAGACCCCAGCCTCCTCCCTCAGACCCCAGCCTCCTCCCTCAGACCCAGGAGTGCAGACCCCAGCCTCCTCCTGATCCATGCCAGCCCTTTCCTTCGGACCCCTATTGGAAAGACCCCCCCACCCCCGTTGCATCATCCGTCCAGGCTGCCCTGGCCACGGTGGAATTCAGGTTTCTGCCAAGTGTGTCAAATATCACGCGTCAGGAGTGGGGAGGGCACGTGGGCGGGCCTGTCTGGGTATAAATTCTGGGACTGCTGGGATCACCAGACAGCCTGAGTGTCTTGTCAGCCAGGCGTTCGGTGGGAGACACAGGCATTCATGTTGCCTGGGCCACAGGCTGCAGCTGGATCCATCCGCTCTGCTGGGACACCCAAGTCAGAGGCCAGCTCCGACCACCGCCCCTCAGACTCGCTCGCCGGGGCCCTCCTAGAGAAGCGCGTTATTGATGGACTGGATGACATCTAGAGTCGGGGTCCCGGGACTGTGGGTCCCTCTGCTGGCTGTCTTCCTGCTGGGGGTCTCCCAGGCACGCCCCATCCCTGACTCCAGCCCCCTCCTCCAGTTTGGGGGTCAAGTCCGGCACCGGCACCTCTACACAGACGACGACCAGGACACGGAAGCCCACCTGGAGATCAGGGAGGACGGCACGGTGGAAGGCACCGCACACCGCAGCCCGGAAAGTGAGTGCGGTGAGGAGCAGGCTCCTGGGTCCTCCCAGGCGTAGGCAGGCTCTGAGTGTCTGTGTTTGGCCCCAACAGGTCTCCTGGAGCTCAAAGCCTTGAAGCCGGGGGTCATCCAAATCCTGGGTGTCAAGGCTGCTAGGTTTCTTTGCCAGCAACCAGACGGAAGCCTGTACGGATCGGTGAGTCCGTCTCTGAGGTCTGCCCTCAGAGGCCCCGGGCCCGAGACAGGGTTCCGGGGCTGGGCCCTTGGGGATGCGCCGCGGGTCACCGGGCTTTCCTTTGTCCCCAGCCTCACTTCGATCCCGAGGCCTGCAGTTTCCGGGAGCTCCTGCTTGAGGATGGATACAATGTGTACCAGTCGGAAGCCCACGGCCTGCCCCTGCGCCTGCCCCAGAGGGACGCTCCGAGCCAGCCCCCAGCATCCTGGGGACCGGTGCGCTTCCTGCCAGTGCCCGGACTGTTCCAGCCGCCCCACGACCTCCCAGGGCGCCCGGCCCCAGAGCCTCCGGACGTGGGCTCCTCCGACCCACTGAGCATGGTGGGGCCTTTGCAGGACGGGAGCCCCAGCTATGCCTCCTGAGCCTCCCTGACTCAGGGAACGTATCTTTTGGGGTTTCTTCTTATTTATTGTGGGTATTTATCTATTTATTTTAAATTTTTTCTTACTTGGGACAATAAAGAGTCTGAAAGACAAATGTGTGTTTGAGAAGTGAAACGCGTTTCTCGTGTTTCTTTGACCGTGAGGTGCCACCCCACACCGGGCACCATTTCCCAGCATTCCTGGCCCCGCAGCCCGCAGTAGCGGATCAGAACTGTTCCTCAAAACTGCCTTCGCAGGGGGACTTCGGTTTGCTGTTGTCCTGTGGGACACCCACAGTCTCATGAGAGAGGAAGATTTTGATAATACTCTGTTTTACAGTGTTTTCTTGGGGGGTGTGCACAGCCTGTGTGTTATGGGTCAGAGGACAACTTGCAAGAGTCACTTCTCCAGGGGTGGTGGCCCGCGCCTTTAATCCCAGCACTCGGGAGGCAGAGGAGGCCAGCCTGGTCTACAGAGTGAGTTCCAGGACAGCCAGAGCCACGCAGAGAAGCCCTGGAAACAGAAGCAAACCAGACTCAGTTCTCTTCTCTACCGCGTGGGGTCTGGTGATTCTTAACTCAGGCACCAAGCTTGCCTTTGCCAGCGGGGCCATCTCAGCCGCCCCAAAGGACTTTTCTTAAACCCCATCTTGGGCCTGTGATGACTTTCTTTTTAAAGACAGGGTCTCACTATGTAGCCCTGGCTAGCCTGTAACTCACTGTGTAGACAGAGCTGGCTGTGTTCAAAACCACACTGATTCACCTGCCTCTGCTTCCCCAGTGCTGGGACTAATAGTGTGCACAACCACAGTCAACCTCTATTTCTAAATCACATCCGCAGTAGCTGAGATTAGGAAGTTAACGCAAGTTCTTTTGTTTCCAGAAGATGGGATCATGGGCTTATCCTTGCTAGGCAAGGCAGCACTACTCCCCCAGCCCCTCACTGGGGGATTCTAGGCAGGGCTCTAACACTGGGGCAAGCCCTCAGCCCCTCACTGGGGGATTCTAGGCAGGGCTCTAACACTGGGGCAAGCCCTCAGCCCCTCACTGGGGGATTCTAGGCAGGGCTCTAACACTGGGGTAAGCCCTCAGCCCCTCACTGGGGGATTCTAGGCAGGGGTTCTCCCACTGTGACAAAGCCTCAGCTCTTTCTGAGATTTTAGGCAAGGGGCTCTATTTTCTGTCACACCTCAGCTTTCCATTTTGCTTTTTCTTTTGAGACAGAATCTCACTAAGTTGCCCATGCTGACTTTGAGTATGTGATCCTCCTGCCTCAGCCTCTTGAGTGAGAGAACAGACTTAGGCCATCAGTCTTAGCTCTATAGCAGTACTGACTGAGCTCATATAACAATGGCATGAAATACAGGGGTGGCGGGCCGGCATGAGGCACATACTGGCTGGCGCACTGAGGAGTCAGAGTACACACACCGTCACCCTCACCCAGCCTGCCCAGTTATTTATGTCAGAGAATTATCAAACTCTATCCCGGCAAACCTTCTTGAAGTTGTGATTAAATACACTTCACATACCTGGGCATGGTGATGCATAATTTTAATCCCAGCATTCAGGAGGTAGAGACAGTCGGACCTCCATGAGTTTGAGGCCAACCGGGTCTACAGAGTGAATTCCAGGCCAGTCAGGGCTACATAGTGAGATCTGTATAAAAAAGGAAAGAGAAGGAAGGAAGAAAGAAGGGAGGGAGAGAGAGAGAGGAAGGAGAGAGAGAAGGAAGGAAGGGAGGAAGGCAGGGAGGGAGGGAGGGAGAAAGAGAGAGAGAGAGAGAGAGAGAGAGAACAGGAAAACACCAAACACTTCACATAAAAATTTCAAGTTAACCATAAGTGTACAATTAGAAGTAGTGAATACCGGGCGTTGGTGGCGCACAACTTTAATCCCAGCACTCGGGAGGCAGAGGCAGGTGGATCTCTGTGAGTTCAATGCCAGCCTGGTCTACAGAGCGAGTTCCAGGAAAGCCTCCAAAACAATACAGAGAAACCCTGTCTCGAAAAACCACACACACACAAAAAGAAGTAGTGAATAAATGCACACTGTTGTGTAATCTAACTCTTTATTTGTTTTTGAGACAGGTTCTCAGTGTGTGGCTCAGTAGTGAATAAATCCACATTGTTGTATGATCTAACTCTTTGTTTATTTGTTTTTGAGACAGGTTCTCAGTGGGTGGGTCATGCTGCCAGTGACCTACAATTCTGTCTCAGCCTCCTGAGTGCTGGGGTTACCGTGTGAGCCCCAAACATGGCGTACATTCCATCTTCAAAGCTTTTCATCTTTTTCGCTTTTGTCTTTAGAGACAGAGTCGCATCAAATAGTGGAAACTCTCCTTGAACTCCCAGCAATCCTCCTGTCCCAGCGTCTACTTTACAGAGTGAAGATTACAGACATGTGTCGCCATGGAAGGCAAGAATTTAGCCTTTTTGGAAAACTGAAACTCTGTCTCATTCCTTTTCCTGTAAATTTTGGGTCAGTTAGAAAGATTGTGGTGAAACTTTTTTACGTCTGACTAGTGTTTTGTGTGTAGACAAGAAAAAGCCGTGACTATTTGGGTTTTTGTTAATGATCAATTAATTTTTAAAGAATTAACTTTCCTTGTCAACAGTCCTCCACCAAGCTTCCACAACTAAAAATAGCAAGCCAAGAATTTCACAATTTTATTTTCCTCAAATATTTGAACATTGTAAGTATAATTAAGGGGCACCTGGGCTGGAAGTGTGGCCGTGGGGTGCTCATCTGGAATGCACTGAGTGTCCTCAGCGCTCCCCAAGCTGGGAGTGGGGGCTCCTGGCAAGGCAAGGGGACTAGGAGTTCAAGACCAGCTGTGTAAGTTCAGGGCCAGGCCTGGGAAGGCAGGGGCATGTGTTTCACAGTGTGCATGTAAAGGTCAGAGAGCAACCTTTGGGGAGTCAGCTCTCGCCTCCTACCATGAGTCCTGATGATCAAATCCAGGTTGTCAGGCTTGGCAGCAAGCACCTTTTCCCACTGAGCCTTATTGCTAGCCCTGTGTGTGTTTTAAACTTCTTTGAAAGATGTGTTTTATTTTATTTTTCTTTTGCCAGGTTCTCAAGAAGCCAACACCTCCGATGCAAAAGCAAAGGTTTCTTTTTATTGTTCAAACTGCCCAGCTTGGATCTCACTCCATGGCAGGGAAATGAGATGCCAACCAGCCAAAAAGAGAAGCTTTTAAAAGGGCAGATCAGCAGGGCGTTGGTGGCGCACGCCTTTAGTCCCAGCACTCGGGAGGCAGAGGCAGGCGGATCTCTGTGAGTTCGAGGCCAGCCTGGTCTACAGAGCGAGTTCTAGGACAGGCTCCAAAGCAATACAGAGAAACCCTGTCTGGAAAGAAAAACCAAACAAACAAAAAGACAGGGCACAGGACTGCAGGGTTACAGTCACAGGGTCTGTCAGTTATCCCGTGGGCCCAAGGGATCTTTACAACCTAACAACCAGCAATTAGCACACCACACATAGGAATTTCGACACAAGTGGTGGACAGTCACCACCCTTTCTCTGAGAATGCTCAGGCACCGGCCACAGTATTCCCAATCATTAGAAGTTCCTGTTTCAGGGCCCAAGTTTTTTTGTTTTTTGTTTGTTTGTTTGTTTGTTTTTGTTTGTTTGTTTGTTTTTGGTTTTTCGAGACAGGGGTTCTCTGTATTGTTTTGGAGAATTTCCTGGAACTAGCTCTGTAGACCAGGCTGGCCTCGAACTCACAGAGATCCGCCTGCCTCTGCCTCCCGAGTGCTGGGATTAAAGTCCTGCACCACCAATGCCTGGCTATCTGCTTTATTTTTATGCATGTATATGTGTGTCTGTGTGGTTATGTGCACATCTGTACAGGACGCTCTGAGGCCAGAAAAGGGTGTCAAACCCCTGAAGATGGAGGTACAGGTGATTGCGAGCCTCTAGACATTGGATCTGGGAACTAGACTCACACTCCCTCGTGAGAGCACCAAGAACTGTCCACCACTTGTCCCTCCCTCCTTTTGTTTGGTTGTTTGAGACAGGGACTCATGCAGCCCAGGCTAAACTGGAACTTGCTATGTAGCTGAGGATGGCCTTATATTCCAGAGCTTCCTGTGCCCAGCTTGCAAATGCTGGGACTAACTACCGGTGAGCATCCCACCTTGCCTGGTTTCTATAGTGATAGATGAGCTCTCTAGCAACTAAACTGCACCCTCAGCCAAAAGAAGCCGTGGAGAGCCCTTTACCCCTGCACTTGGGAGGCAGCAGGAGGAATAGCTCTGAATTCAAGGCCAACCCGGTCTGTATCATGAGTTCCAGGACAGCCAGGGCTACACGGAGAAACTGCCTCATCAAACAAACGGTTGTGATGTTTGAGTGAGAAATGTTCCCCATAGGATCGTGTGTCTGCACACTTGGTCTCCAGTTGACAGCTCTGTTTAGGGAGGTTATGGGAGCTGTTAGGAAGTAGAGCGTTTCTGTTCGTCCCGGGAAGCTGGCACTCAGGGTTTGTTTATATACCCACCTACTTCCTCCTCCCTCCCTCCCTCTCTCTCCCTCCCTCTCTCTCTCTCTCTCTCTCTCTCTCTCTCTCCCTCCCTCCCTCTCTCTCTCTCCCTCCCTCTCTCTCCCTCCCTCTCTCTCTCTCTCTCTCCCTCCCTCTCTCTCCCTCTCTCTCTCTCTCTCCCTCCCTCTCTCTCTCTCTGTCTCTCTCTGTGTCTCTCTCTCCCTCCCTCTCTCTCTCTCTCTCTCTGTCTCTCTCTCTGTGTGTGTCTCTGTCTCCCTCCCTCTCTCTCTCTCCCTCTCTCTCTCTCTCTCTCTCTCTCTCTCTCTCTCTCTCTCTCCAGTGAGTGGACAAAATGTCATCAGTCATCTTCCCATTAGAAACCTTTCTTCCTCAGGTTGCTTTTGGTATCAGAAAACTAATACCAGTGTGCATACACATATATTAATATATCATATATGTATTACAACAGGCTTGACTTTGGGCCACCAACCAGCTCCCAAATCATGACACAGAGAATTGTTACTAGTTATGAATCTTCAGCTTTATAAATTAAATTAACTTTTTTTTTCCAGAAAGGGTTTCTCTGTGGTTTTGGAAGCTGTCCTGGAACTCTCTCCGTAGACCAGGCT